TCTGATCACTTTCTTGTACCTAAAGAATAGGGATCTGATGCTTTGATCTGTCTGAGCGCAGGAGATGGCAGGTGTCCATTACCCTGCATTTCTTTTGATCCCTGAAGTCATGAGGGATGATTTGGCCTCTGGTGTAATTTAGAACAAGTGTGAGGTTGCTCTAAGTTACCCGGGCCTTTTAGGGTGTGTCTAAACTACACCCCACAGCCAACAGAGGGATGTAGATTAGGCACATCGCTATTGCAAATGAAGCAAGGATTTAAATATCCTTCGCTTCATTTGAATAAAAATGGCCGAGACTTTTTGCCGATGAGGCACTTTGCTGGCAAAAAGCGGCAGTCTAGATGGGGATCGGTCGACAAGGAAAGCCTTTTTCAACCGAACCTGTAAACCTCGTTGCACGAGGCATAAAGGATTGGTCGGAAAAGGCTTTCCTTGTCGACCGATCCCCGTCTAGACTGCCGCTTTTTGCCAGCAAAGTGCCTCGTCGGCAAAAAGCAGCGGCCATTTTTATTCAAATGAAGCGAAGGATATTTAAATCCTCGCTACATTTGCAATAGCGATGTGCCTAATCTACATCCCTCTGTCGGCTGAGGGGTGTAGTTTAGACACACCCTTATAGCCCCCAAGGGGACATAATTCAAGTCCGTGATCACTGGAGTGAAAAAGCTACAGCCACACCTCATTCTGCCCCTACCACATTCCCTTACACCTGGGAGGCCAGCAAAAGATGGGATCAAATCAGAGTTGTCAGATTTACACAAGCTAGTGTTTTCCCCCATGCTGGGTGAATCCTGAGCTGGTGCTTTCAGAGAGGTGCAGAGGAGACATAATTGAAGCCAAGGAGCTGGCTGGTGATCCCTAGTTATGCTTGGAAATTAAAGATTCCATGTTGGAGCAGCATAAAGTACAAAGGAGTTTGCATCACAATAGTGAATTCTCTTGAACTTCACAGAAGCTCATCAGAAGTTCTACATTCCGCTCTGAGATCCATTTAGTAATTTAAACTTGACTTCAAGGAAAAATAAGCAATGTGATATCTAGGTAGTTAAATTCATAGTGCTAACATGTTTTATTTGTACACTTAAACACTCCTAAAAAGAGAGGTTGCAACAACACACTGATAATCCCCATTTCCAGGGATCTATGCCCAACACTAATAACCAGTTTCCAGACAGCAATTCTATTCCAAGAATCAACTTGAGTTAGGCTAGGTCTATGCTGGGGATAAATTCAATTTAAGATTCACAACTCCAGCTAGAATAACACACCTTAAACCAAATTTCTGGAGCAGACCTACTGCAGGAAGCTGATGGAAGAATCTCTCTTGTCAAATTCCTTTATTCCTTGCGACCCCGGGGAGTACCAGAGTTGACGGATGTGTCCTGACCTGCTCATTGGGGGTGCAAGTATTTTGTCACGGAACATGCTGGCAGCGTTCACACATGCTGACTTTTGGCAACAAGGCTGCATTGACACAGTTTTGTCACTAAAAGCTGCATAGTGTAGACATACACTTAGTTTTGCCAACAGATGAAGATGACAGTGGAATTTGTTATCTCAGCTGGGTTGTCAGTCAACCACAACCCCAAAACCATACCTCAATATTGCTCACACTCAAATCAGTAATCTAATGATTTTGCTGTTACCTTCTCATCACAATACATCCCCTTTGTACATTAACATTGTTCTTAATGCTCCCAGGCTGGCAACAGCACAGTAATTTTCTTCTTATGTAACAAACTAGTCTATAGTTAAAACATATTTATTTGTATAAATCAGTCTGAGCCCTTAATCCAGCTGAATTTATTTTACACAGTGTTCATTCAAGAGTTTGTCTCATTCATTTTATGGGAAAATATGATTTCATAGTGCAAAACGTTTGTGTTCAAAAACTTTTAAGACGCCTGAAACTTTGAGGTGACACTTTTTCTAGTTTCTATGCACACAACCCTTAAAGGAACGCTAAAGGGCAACAGGCATTGTGCTAACTATAGAACATCTGCTTTACCAGACTGTAACAGCCAGGAAACTGTGATCTTTGTGTGCCGGCAGTGAAGATTTTACTTGTGGGCCAAGGCATTTCCTTTTCTTTTTTCTTACAGAAAAACTCTAGAGGTCTTTATGCAAACTACTTGGTGGGGACAGTTTAGAATAGACATTTTTAAAGGGGAATTAGACATTGTAGGGCTATGTACTGCAAGGGATTAGAGCCTTTCACTACTAGGTCACCAGGTCATTTCCCACCCAGGCAGGGAGAGACCAGAGCTGGGTTACTACTGAAACTCATTTATGAATGTTTTGTTTTAAAAGCAGTAGGGGCCTGTGCCTCGTGCTCACTATGCTTGCCAACCCCCCGCTGTCTCGGGGTAGGTATCTGGCTGGAGGGAGGGTGCAGGAGCGGGCTGGGGGCAGGGTGTGTGGCTAGGGGTCAGGAGCAGGATGGGGATGTAGGGTCTTGGCCAAAGGTGTGTGTGTGAAGAGGCTGGGGTACAGGGTCTCCACCGAGGGTGTGTGTCATGGGGCTGGAGGTGTGGGGAGGCGGGAAGGTGCGCAACTT